TTGGGGGCAGGAGCCAGGTTTGGGCCAGGGACTGGGACTGGGTCAGGGGTTGGGGGCAGGAGGCGGGTTGGTTCAGGGGCTGGAGCAGGGTTGGATCAGGGGTTGGGGGGGTTGGGAGCTGGGATTGGGGCCAGGAGCCGGGGTTGGATCAAGGGCTGGGGGCGGGGAATGGGAGAAATACCGGCGACAGGGGCTGGGGTAGTAGTAATACTTAGGAATTTGTGGCGGTTGTGGGGGGATGGTGGTGGGCAGGGACTGGGGGCTGCAGAGTGGCCGGTAGACATTATGAGCCTGATTCCAGAGCACCCTTCCGCTGACTCCAAACCGACATCCCCTGCGTGACCTGTCACAGTCTTCCCGAGTCTGTTCATTCTCTATCATTCTCTATCATTCGCTCTGACTGTTGTGCTGTCAGTCATCTTGGATTCATGATGGCGGATGGGGCATGTTGGCAATAAGTTTTAGATTGATTGTGACTTTATCTCGGTCCACATACAACAAAATCCTGTTTTTATAGACCAGTTCTCTGCTTATTACAAGGAAGGAACTCTGAAGTAGCAGATGTCAATCTTGGGTTGTAGATAAGTGTTACTGGCCTGTAAACGTGCTGTATATCCTGGCTTCTTTATAGCAGCCTTTGTTTCATTTCTTAAGTTTTAGCTATTAATTAATATGTTTATAAAATATGAGATGCGCTTAATGATATATGTGAGTTTGCTGTTTTGCTGATACGGTGTCTTAAAACATGTCAATATTTATCCTATCTTTTCCTGCTTTGCTTGGACCTGGGGTAGTTCATTCGATAGGTTCACGCCAAGTGAAGCCGGGATGTCGCGTTGCCTACAAACATTAACCTCGAACTGCAGAAGCGCCTGGATGCGTCAAAGCGAAGGCCGCGCTCATACTCTGTGCATTGAATTCCTGAACAAACCGGCCGCCCACTGGATTCGGATGCCATTCTCGCGGTAAATGGCAGCTCTCGTCTTTAACCTCATTATATTCCGGGAGTAAACTACAAATATGTCCCTGACCTTGTTTCTGTATTCCGCAGGCGTTTTAACACAGATAACTGCCCGAATTAGTACAAAGTGATCAGTATTTTCACTGCGCAATAGCATTAAAAGTCGGCAGCAAGAAACATTGCCCATAGGTAAAGCCAAACTGAGGCTGCATGATAAATGGGACAGTGCATGGATTTGATTGCTTTTTTTTTAAAGCCTTTAACAAGAAACTTATATGTTCCAGCACAAAACTAATCTCTAAAGTGTATTCAGATAGGTCAAGCCATTACATACTTGGACTTTTTTTTGATGTGGTGATGCATGATAAGCACGAATCTGTTAAGGGAGCTCCTCGTTTTAAACCAGTAGAATATTTGAGGCCAAAAGGTCGTCAGTAAAATCTAAGGAAGGTCGTAAATGGTTTCATACGCTGTGTATGAGGGGGCGCGCGCATGTATTTCAACGGAACAGATTGTGAACCGTTGGCTTATTTTCTCGGTATATATTTAAAGTCTAGCCTGACCTGCTCGTTTTCTTATTCAGTCTAGCATGAAATGATTTGGCGTAACCGGATTCCTGGGAAAGGACAGGTTACATAAACATTTACTGATGTGGAGTAACTCCAATACTTGTACTCTGATATGCAGCGAGGAAAGTGTTGATTAACACAAAGAAGAAAGCGAGATTAACTGATTGCATGCTCATATGAGCAAGCGGTCATTGAATGGTAACTTTTTTTAAAAAAAAAACTAGACCCAGCTGTTGTTTGTACTGAACCACGTTGTTGCTATGATTTAGTAATACTTACATCAGAGTTCTTGTATAACTATTTCAAACCCAGTTTACTAACGTGTATCTCAAGCTGATTCTGGGACACTGAGAAAAAATAAGCGAGGCGTACTATTTCTAGTATATTATAATATATTGAATTCTGCTTGTTTAACATAATTTAAGATTCATAAGTTGCCACAAAATGAATTAAATGTTGACACAGGAAACCCAACAGATT